GCAGGCCTTTACATTTCTTTATTAAAAGTACTATTTTAGGTTTGAGCATTTTTGGCGTTGACACTGGAACAGGAGTAAGGAAGCTTGCAGCAGTATTACCAGTTTGACACCACCAGTGGGTGTTTCTGTTGACAAATGCAGAGAAGAGAACATTTGGGAAGGAAATCTCCACCCCCCCAGTGGGGGGGAAGGAAATCCCCCCCCCCCCAGTGGGGTGGGGGAGGTGAAGGGAGAAGGAGCCAGAAGAGAGGAGCTATAGAACTAAAGCTGCCAGCACTGTGTATGCTGAGCATTTCACAAGTACATGGAAACCTAATTAAGAAAAAAAAATTTTTTTTTGCTTGGCCGTCTTAAATAATAGAACTCCAAAAGAGGCATACTAAAAGTTAACCATTCTGAATGTGTTAATCGTCTGCTGTTTCAGAGGAGGAGGGGGGGGGAGTTTCGAAAGGAGAGGGTATCAAATCCTTTTGAATCTTGCATTTGAAACATAATTAATACAACGATTAGTTTGATATGTATATGTGTATATTTATAAGAAACAGGTTAGTATTCTAATATGGTTTATTTAGTATATTTCTTAAGCCTGTTTTAAAAACAATTTGGTGTGTTAAATAAGTAACTAGAAATTGTATTTATTTTCCAGAGAGCATTTCTTTTTTCCCTGCTCAATCTTATAATTTATTCATGATTTAGGGACCTGTGGGAGGGATTTTTTTTTTTTTAACCACTGCATCTCAAGTTTTTGATTTTTACTTTTGCAAGTTTCCAAACTAAATCTTCCATTGTTTCCATTGTAATTCTCTTGGAGTTATGTAAATCAGAATGTGGCATCTACTGTGTCCCCTGGGGTTTTAAACGGAAAGGCTCCCATTGAAAGAAATTGCAGGGCCATCTCACAGAGATGAGTAATAGAAGGTTGACTGATTGCGAATCAGATGTTCTGTTCCAAATATGCCATATGAGGTTGAGGCAGTCCCTTAATGAGAACCAGATTTCATGTGGTATTTCTACTTTGAAGGTGCAGTATTGCTACATTACAAACTGAAATTCAGAGGTGGAGAAATTCCTTTCACTATGCCCCCCTCCCCTTAGTCTTGTTTACCATTGTGTCCAAGAACCTATGGGACATTCAACAATAGTTGCATCTTTGGTGATAACAGTGCCTTCTCTTGCAGAAAGTTAACCTTGCATTATAATTCGCATTTCAGTTTACTTTGTAGTAGGAAAGCCAGCTATATCTGAGAAATCAGCTGTAGGAAATTTGTCAAGAAGTGAGGGGTTTTCTTCAGCATGTTACCATTTCACCTCCACTCCCCCTTCCATTTTGCTAGTAGCTTTGGGTGGTTATCTCTTTTACTTCTAGATAATAGAAGGTACTCCAGTATGCTGCTTTGTTTTTGACCCTTAGTGTAGGCATAGGACTTCTTTATGTAATAAATTGATATCAAATAATATCACAGGAGTTTAAGAACAAATGAATCCCCATGGGTAGATCCAAAATGTAAGGGAAATCCTTTAGATAACCCTTTCACTTTAGTACGAGAATTTGAAGTATTAGATTGCTTAAGTAGACAAGATAGTTGACTCGGAATTGGATAATTTTAGACTCTAAAGTTTTATTTATTTTTGGCCACATTACATAATTTGACAACTTAGTATTCCTTGATAGATGAGGAGGTAGAATCGCTAAAGTTCTTTAGCATCTGATCATGGTGTCAGATGGACCACATATTTCAACTTAAGGAAAATAACACATTTAAAAAACTACATTTAAACATTCTGTTTGGAGGCTTTCCCAATTTACTTTCAATCTTAAACTCAACATGAGAAGTCTTTGTTGGTGATGTACAATGTTAGTGTTTGATTTTTGGTAGTTTTTAGGATGTTTCCTTTAGGTAGAACAGTGAATGGATGTCTGAGTTACTCGAAGATGTGGTCTCATTTCTCATTCAAGTTTCTCCATTTCTTCATACTGAGATAGGAACTTGGGTGCAGTTCGGTCAGGAGCTGTGAACACTGAGGGGAGGACCTCCCTAAAGAGATGCTGACATTTTTTTTTTTTGGAGAGGTTTTTTTTCGCTATAGGGCGCGTGTGCTCGCCAGACAGAGAGAGACATAGAGACAGAAAGCGAGAAATCACCGTCCAGGAGGAATGGTCACGCCGCAATCCCTTCTCCTCCATTCTCTCGGGATCTTGGGCACGCACGCACACGCGCCCGGCGTGAGTTTTAAGCCACCGGGTCCGGGACGCGAACCGCAGTCGACTACGTGGGAGTCCAGCAACATAGCCATTAGGCTAACTGCTGGTTCCCAGAGGCTGACATTTTAACATTTCACAAATGGGACTGAACAGAAAATTGCTCAGTAGCTTAAAAAGACCTAGCCCATTAAGTCTTTCAAACTGAGTATCTACATTTTGGGTTAAGCTCTTTACTTGAAACATTTGTGCTTGAGATAGCTCTAACCCGGGTCAAATTTTGGGTGTGGTTTCATTTTCAAGCAGTCTTCTGTATAATAACTAAATTGTACTATTTCATGTAGTGAGCCTCACTGAATACCAGACGCTGTGGCAAATAAATTCCCTGCCTGAATATACATGTGTGTGTGTTCTGACAACATCTCTGAGGTAGGGCTTACTTTCCATATACATGTCAGATGGGCTCTGAGAAATAGAGTAATTTGCCCAGATTACCTAGCTAGTCAGCAGAAGAGGCAAAATTGCCATCCAGACCGGTCTGACTTGAAGCTGTGCTCCTCAGAACCACGCTTTCTGCTTCTCTTCGGGAATGTGAATCCCCAAGCCTATTTTGTGTTCCCGTTCTACATCATGTGAACCTGGGGTGGTACTGGAGGTATAAATGTGCTTCCCAGAGTTGATGGGCAACGTCGGCCAGACTGCCGGATCTTGAGTCACGGGAGGGGCTGGACTCAGATCTGTCAGGACTGCTGGATAGGACAGTTGGACCTGTAAACTTTTCTAGCAGAGAGTCATTAGTTCTGTGTCTTCCTAAGTGAAGATTGTACGCAATCATTTATGCCCAGAATGAGGTGGTTATTTCTAATTAGCCACTTGGTATTTCATGTTTCTGCATGTTCCATTATAACTTTTCACCGACTTTGATTCAATTTGCTACACTAATAAAAGCTATGAAGATACTCCTTGAATTCAATTTTGTGGTTTGGATGCACTCTTGAAGTAAAATGGCAGCCATTACAATATGCAGATGGGCACCTCTTTTGTAATTATGACTTTAATGAAATGAAATCTGAAGGTGAAGTCTGCAAGATGATGTTGCTGTTTCTTATTACATAGAAGTTGGACTCTGATGAAAATTTTTCTACTTGAAAGTAGACTTTTCTATTTAAAGCTTCTTGTGATGGATTTTTTCCCCTTTTCTCTTTTTTAATGATAAAATATCTATCTGCATACATGTGTGTGAGCGTGTGAGAGAGAAAGCACCCTTGAAAAGATCACGCTGTGATCCCTATTTCCCAGCCCTACAGCTCCTCTGGGTCCTAAGTACCGTATATGTGTGTGTGTGTGTGTGTGTGTGTGTGTGTGTGTGCGCGCGCGCGCGCGTGCACATGTGTTTTAGGGTGGCTGGGATCTGAACAGTGGTGGCACTGTAGAACACTAGTCTTATCCCTCTGCCACAGGGGCAGGACCAGTTTTTTGTTTTATAAATAACACTCATGATTCAGAGAGCCAAATGGTTCCTTAGCTTAGGGATCCATGTCAGGGAAGAAAAGGACTTAATATTGTTTTTTCTGTAGTGATGAAAATCTTTTGTCACTTGTTACAGTTAGAAAAGTGTGAAGAATATTGTAAGCCTCAGTACCAGTAGTCGTCTTGGCCAAAACAGGACAGTCATTCTACACAGATGGGGCCTGTACATAAGTTTTGGTTGATTTCTGTACCATGTACAATTTTGCAGTACACATTTTAACAGCTATATTGAGGGATAATTGACATACAATAAAATTCACCCTACTGAAGTATCCCAATTTAATGGTTTTTTGAGTGAATTTATGGGGTTGTGTAACTATCACAGCAATACAGTTTTAGGGCATTTCTGTCATTCTCCCAAAATTCTCTCTTGCCCACATGAGGGTTTTTTTTTTTTTCTACCATATTTACTTGATTTACTTAAGTCTGTCATCGGACACTGATCACATGCATGTCAATATAAAATTAAATCCTATAGATCTTTAAAAGGTATCCTTTAAAAATAACTTCTTATGCACATTATCGTGTCTTAGCATCTTTTGTATTGTCAAGTTTTTTCTAAGGTTATATGTAGCAGAATATAAAGGGCCATACTACAGATGTTACTAATAAATTTATGTTGGTGGTTTTCTTTTTATTTTGGTTTGATCGACTTTAAACTGGTGAATAAAATACGACGTTCTTAGTGATAGGCTGAAAATGCAGGGAAAAGAAATCAAGGTAAAAGTAATATAATTATTGCACAAGAAAAAATTACCTGCAGATTTAAGACCGTGGGCAAAATAATTGGTTTTCTTGATTTTAAGCCAATAATGTTGTGCGTTTTATTGTTTGAACTCTAATCCCTTTTGACAGATCCATTTCTATTGTGCGTGCCATAGAGCAGGCTTCATCAAATTCAGGTACTCAGACACATTGTCTGCTCTCTGGGTAGCTTCAGATGGGATTGTTAGATTTAGAAATAGCTTAATATACACACTGTAGCTGGTTTTACCTGCCTGCATCATTTTCTTCTTAGTTACCTTCTAGGGTGGTCTGGGGAGTAAAGCTACCCTGGGGATGTGGAGTCTGATGAAAATATATAGCACAGGCTGGTCTCTGTCACTTTGGAAGGTGTTCTGCCTCACTCACTACATTCTTGTGTCAAGAAGAAATGCACTGCTGATAGAAAGGTTGAGGATGTTATTTTGGGGGTACACATAATAGGGGCATAGAATGGTTTCGTTGAAAGTAAAGCATTTTGGAAACTGTCTAACTTTCATTGCTTTTAGGTGAATGTTTCTCCATGGCAAGTGACCCTTACAAGTGCCAGCAGGTAAATCAATAACTCCTTATGTGGTAGGTTGTGTCTGGATTTTTAATAACAAACAGATTAGACATAGAGCACTTGTCTGATATGAATAGTTTTCTGTCAGTTCAATCATAACTGATTCAAAGTATGCTTACTTTTTTTTTTATGACCGTTTAAGGGCTATGACTGCTGCGTGATTCTATTTTTACTTTGTATCTCTCATAAGAGATAGGACTCATGCCAAATAGTAACCTGTGACATGGTTACTAACAGTATAACGGGAGGTAGTGATTGATAGAACAACTTTTATTTCAGGAAGTTAACGAAACATATGGGTGAATACATTTTTTTTTAAAGATTGACTTAAATTATTTTAGATAAAGTACAATTTTAGATCTTTAGATTTTATTTTACTTTATTATTAATATTTTTAATTTGCTAGTGGTTACATGGACTCAGTGGAGAGAGAGAAAATGAGAATGCACCCTCATGAGAGATGGCCATGCCGCAATCCCTTGTCCTCCGTTTCTCCTTTCAGGATTTTGGGCACGCACATACATGTGTCTGGTGTGTTTTTCAAGTTGCTGGGTCCAGAACTGAACTGTTCAGTTGGCTAGGTGGGGTCCAGGTGCCTTAACCATCATGCCACCGGCTGGTCCAGATCTCAGTTTTAAATGACGTATTCCTGTAGATTAGGTTCTGACAGTATATGACCATGCTGAAATAATCAGATTAAACACATACTCATGTGAGGAAGATAAGGCAGGTAAAAATTGGTGATAAATTATAGTTGAACAGCTTACTGACTTGGATTTGCCCAGTTACCCTGACATTGGCCAGTCATAGAAAATGGTTTCCTGATGAGTAGAATCCTTCAGAGATGACCAGAGCTGGTTCAGATAAAACATGTCCAAGAATTTATTCACACACTCAGACATACACTCCACCTTGGTTTGTCAGCCTCTTGTAGACTTGCTAACTTTAATCGCTAGTAATTACTATTACTAATATTGCCATTAATTTAAGTATGGCAGTGCAAATGAAAAGAAAAAGGTTGATCTTAATTGTATTTATTGAAAATGGTTGAGGTAGACAAATTGTGCAACTTGTTACTTCATGCTCATTCTGTTGGGTCGTTGGAAAAGTCATGACACATTTTTGCATAGAAAAACACAGAAAAATATGGCATGACTTTTCTGACTACCCAATAGTTTGTTTTGTTGGCAATAACAGTAATGCTGGCATCTGGGTAATTAATAATAATAGATGTTTATTCAGCTCACAGTTGAGAGGTCTCAGGTCCAGAGGCCACATGTGGTAGAGGTCTTGCTCAGTCCTGAGATGTCACATCATGAGGGGAAGAACAGAGCAGAGCTGCTGTGGCCATCCATATGTGTCTCTGTGTCACATTTCCTGTCCTTATAAACCCCCTAGGACTCAGTTGTAGGGGCCCCACTCTGATGACCTTAATCTTAATCTCTCAGAGGCCCCACCTTTCAATATCATAATCAGATGAAATTTTCTCCCTCATAATTCTATCACAACCAAATATCAACACATGAATTTGGGGGAGACATTCAAAACCATAGTAACACTTTATCAAGGACTTCTTTCTAAAATAACCTGTTCTCCAACCTGACAATCTGCCCTTCAGTCATTTAGCATGTGCTTAATGAGTATGTACAGTGTGCGGGACTGTGCTAGAGGCGGCGTTGAATGATACGTAAAACAGAAGTAGGCCCCGCCTTCAGAGAGTTTACAGCCTGGAGATGGAGGCAGAGGAGCAGTACAGAGCCCAGTAATACCGTGGGAGTATAAAGCAAGATAGGGGTGGAGGATCTGTCCTTGGGGAAGTCACCTTTAAGTGAGATCTGAAGGATGACAAGGACTGGGAAATAAGTTTTCTAGAAGGTGCAAATGCCCTGAGGCGAAGTGACAGAGAGAGGCAAGAGAGGTTTTTGAAAAACAACCTTTTAAAGAACTGAAAGAAATCTGGAATGGCTGGAAAGTGGAGAAGCAGAACGTGAAACAAGTTAGGCAGAGGCTAGGTCTTGAAAAGGTTTAGTAGGCCAACTGCTGGGTTTTTGAACTTGTCCTAATCTCCTGGGAAGCTGCTGAAGGTTTTAGGCAGGGGTGTGACATGAAATGAATTGCTATTAAAAAAAAAAAAGAGTTTTAATTCAATGAAACCTCTATAATTTACCCAAGAGGTCATAATATCTGCAAGGTTAAGTAGTCTTGCTTCATTTCATTAAAATTTTTGCAACTGTTCCTTTGATTGATTGTCATCTGCGGTACTCGGTACTCTTCATTGTTTTTATAGAAATTGCTTTTAATTTTCTAAAGGCTCCTTTTCTTTTATCCTTCAGCATTCTGTTAACCTTATATAGGAATGTCATTTCTATTTATAACTGAATTAGAATATTTTTTCTAGCAGATTTAGCTCTCTTCCATATTTAAACTTAAAACTCATTGCTGGTTTTTTTTTTTTTTTTTCTCCCTAGACACCTGTAATCTGCTCAGGGTATTTAATGCTCTAACAAAATGTCTCATTAAATATCAATATTCCATTTGCTTTATTTATTTTTTCAAATATAATATCTTATATATAGTTTAATATTTTAAAAAATGTCTTCTTGTTGCCAGAGGGCATGTGCGCTTTTCAGAGAGAGAGGGAGACAGACAGACAGAAACCCCCAATGGAGCACAATCATGCCACAGTCCTTTTTCTTCCATTTCTCCATCCTATCTGGATTTTGGGCATGCACACACATATGCCCGGTGTGCTTTTCAAGTCTCCAGGTCGGGGTTTGAACCGTTGTCAACCATGTGGTATTTGGGTTCCTAGGCACAGGGCTTAACTGCTCTGCTACAGGACTGGCCTTAGTTTAATATTTTTCAGCATTTATGCTATTTCATATTTTATGAAATCACATTTGAGCACACACAGTGTTTTTAGAGCATTTTGTTCATATTACTTAGGAGCACAAATCTT